GTGTTGCGCGCGTGAAACTCTCGGCGCGGATCGTTTGTGAAATGGAGCTTCCCTCCCGGTTTTTTTCCTCCGGAACAAGAAACTGCTCTTCGTAGAAAGCGAATTTAATACGTTTTCCGTGTATTCGACCGATAACGAGACCGACTCCCAAACGCCAACGGATAGAAAATCTATGGCGTTTCTCTTCTCCGTTCTACCTCTGATCGCCTACGAGGAGCAGAAATCGTAGAGGTAGAAAGAGAAATCGATGGATCGCGTGATTGTTCGAATGATTCTTTGAAAGTTTTTTCATTTTTTCTTTTTTTTTTTTTTTTACTTCACAAAAATCGAATTCTTTGTTTTTACGATCGGATTTAAGCGTAAAGTATTGGCGAGAATTATTTATGGAATTTTGGGAAAATTTGGTGAATTTAGTGGAAAATTAGTTGTAATTCGTTATTGATTACAAGTAGAAATCTATTTTTAATGGAATAAGCGAGAAATTTTGCTATTTGTTGAATATTTCTGCTTAATAAATAAAATTAACGAAGTTCAAGTTTATTGGCGATGAAAATATTTGTTAAAAGAATATGATATATGTCGTAGATTGAAATGCTTAATAAAGAGAAGATTAATCGATGAAGGAAAAATGATGTCATCTTAATGGTATAAATACGACGTAGAAAAATAGTATTCCTGAATGCTAAAAAAACGAATTCAAAGGAAAATTGTACGAAATTGGAATGAAATCGAAATTGGAATGGAATACTTTCCTGAATGAAATAAATAACGATAATGATACGGATTTAAAGATATATAAGTAATTCTTTTGTGAAAACATTAAAGATCGTTGCATATTTTTCCAAAAAGAACAGAATTTTAACAACGTTTTAAAGAATCTATGCACTCATGTACGTATGCAGAATACGTTTGTACTTACGCGCCATTCCAACCATGCATGCGCGCGCATAGTAACACGTGTACATAGTAGGTAGGTTAACAAATTAACTGATTGTGTTTTGTATCGAGGAGAACGAGAGTTTGAAAATAAGATGCCTTGGTTCGATATTATTCTTCGTGATGCTTTCTAAATTCTAAACGATGCTTTTTTATTTTTACACGAATGATCGATTAATATTACGATATCACTTAACCTATATTTTGCTAGAGATTTTATCGTGTTTACAATGAACTTTTCAGCCTGGGGCTCGAACAAGTGTCTTTTCTTTTTTACCTACGCGATTTTATATTCGAATTTTTATATTCCTTTTATTATTATTATTATTATTATTATTATTATTATTATTATTATTACTATTATTATTATTACTA